CTGCAGGTGCGCTCGTCCAACTCAACCCTACATACCAAGCACTAGCGCTTGGTAATAGTTCTTCTACTACAGCATGACAGTATACTGAGCATACTATTCTAAGGGTTTTCTTTAATTGTGAGAGTCTATACTAGTTACAAAGAGTATACTAGTTCTTATCATACTGATAGTGTTTGTGATACTGGCTAAACGTTACAAGTATTGTGTGAGAGAGAATGAAGTTAATATTGTTCAGATACCTCTTGGGACTAAAATAGCATTTTTTATAATGCAATTTAATGAAAGTGAAGTAATGTTTTTGCTTTCAATTATGACATTAAAAACAAATCAAATACATCATAGACAATAAAGTTTCTAGAAAAACTCAGTAATCAACTTTTAATTACATCATTGCAGTGCTACTAATTATGGCAACCAGCTTTGCTAAGCAGCTAGCTGTTAAGTGGCAACCATTCCTTCATATTACTCCTTCAGCAGTCTTGGTTCTAGTATGGAACTATCTCATGTATTCTTATTATGTATTATTGAGCAATTTCAGTGGTGGAATTGTTACTGAAGTTGCTCCTGCCACTTGGTATAAGTATGGTTTAGTCATTTTATTTTTCTTTGGTTTTTTTTTCTTTCCTTCATTTGGTCTGTTAGCTGATGTATGGATTGGAAGATACAAAGCTATACTGATTGGTATAGTATTGTGTTTTATATCATGGATTATAGTAGGAATTGGATATATTGTGGGCAAGTGCATAAACTTTACCTCTAAAGCAATTCTTTGGATTTTCTTCACTTTTGCTGACATTACATTTTTTTGTGGTTTGTCCAGTTTCTCTGCTAACATTATTCAGTATAACATTGATCAACTTGTTGGAGCTTCATCTGATGAACTCAGTTCTGTCATATACTGGCATATACTATCTGAACCACTTGTTTTATTCCTCTCTTTTACCTTCTTCAATGTTTATTTAATAGTAGTAAGTATTTTATCATGATCACTTTCATAGCATCAGGTGTATCTGTATCTCTTGTACTGGTGTCTCATTCATTCTTAAAACACAAACTGGAGAACATATCACTGATCAAGAATCCCATCAAACTGATAGTTAGAGTATTGTGTTATGCCAGGAAGCACAAGTATCCTCAGAATCGTAGTGCTCTGACCTACTGGGAGGAAGAGGCTCCTTCAAGACTAGACCTGGGTAAGGATAAATATGGTGGACCATTCACAGAGGAAGAGGTAGAAGATGTAAAGACAGTATTTCGAATGCTACCATTATTTATTGGTTTTGGTGTGATTAATCTCAGTAATGATACCTATTGGTCTGCTGTTAAAAGTTATTCATTACCAAATTGCTTAGCAGTGACAGACTCTCAGTACTATTTCTGCTCAGTCATTCTAACATTTCTTTATTTATTCTTTATCAGAGTTTGTTTCTACAAGTATATTCCCAGTATGCTGACTAGAATGAGTGTTGGTATCTTCCTTGCTTTCATTGTTACAGTTTCTAAAGTGATCATATTTGTCAATGAGAGGTCTCATCCTGACATAAACAACTTTGGTAAATTACTCTTTATTCCACAAACTATCCAAGGACTCTCTTTTATATTATTGTATCCAGTATCACTGGAGTTTACAGTAGCTCAGTCTCCAGTTCACATGAGAGGAGTGATGGTTGGATTGTGGTATGCTACTGCTTCGGGGCTTGGTAATCTCATTAGCAACATGTTAAAGTTTCCATTTGATTGTGAGAGTCAATACATATGTACTAGTTTTTATTATTATATAACAAAGAGTGTACTAGTTCTTATCATACTGATAGTGTTTGTGATACTGGCTAAACGTTACAAGTATCGTGTGAGAGAGAATGAAGTTAATATTGTTCAGATAGTTGATGATCATTATCAGAGATACATGGAACAAGAGGAACAATATAACAGGAATAGAAATGATGACATTGACATTCATTATTCATAATTAATTATTTTCATCAGAAAATATTTTACATCATCAGTATCGTTATGTCTGCCACTTGTACTAACTCTTAATCAACATCTATGAGACCTTAAACTTACATGTACAATGTACGTGTACATGCTTTAGTCCCAACAGTCAGTGGAAGAAATGGCAGAGATAAGAGCTGAAAAGCAGTACTAGCTTATATGCATGTACAAAGAAGGGCATGCATTTGCTCTGATAATGAGGTGCAGGGCTTGCATCTATGACAATTGAAAATGATGGTAAAGAACTTGTCTGACGTACATATATATACATGTAACACTATGTCTGGTAGGTACTGTACACACATTGTACAGTACATGTATGTGTCAGTAGTTTTAAAATCACCTGCTATACTCAGTAAAATTAGGACATGCAATTAAAAGTGTGTGTGTGTGTGTTCCTTACAGTTTGTAATTCTTCAACTTGTTCTTCAGTTTTAAGATCCCCAAACTGCTGGAGGAATAACTGTAATGAGGCAAACTGTGAGGGCTCCAAGAAATTCAACAAACTAAACAATTCATCCACACTGTTCTGAAGAGGAGTACCAGTCAATAACACCCTGTGCTCCTAGAACAGCACAAAGGCACATTAGGAATGTACAGAGTATTAATGCAACTATACATGTATGCATGTGCATGTGTATTTTTGAGTAACTTTAAAAATTCATAAAAAATCTAAATTTAATCGGAATCTGCTCAAACTCTCTATACAACATAAGTACATGTATATGTATATGCATCAGAAAAAATTATTAAAATGGAGAATTCTCACCTTTCTATTTTTGGCAACAATTTGTCCCATTTCACTGTACTATAGCACAGGGACTTTGACCCAATTTTAGAGCACATTTAGTAATTCATAAAAAATCCAATTTTGATCGGAATCCACTCAAACTTTCTATGCAACATAAGAACATGTATATGCATTAGATAAAATTATAAAAATGGAGAATTCTCTTTTTTTCATTTTTGGCAAAATTTGGCCAAAACCAAAAAATCTAATTTAATCGTAAAAAATCTAATTTATACAAAAATTAATTTAAGTTTTAAAAATATATATTATAGAAATGTACAATGTACATTTACAAGTACTACATATATGTACTTACCATATGTAGTTCTCTGAGTCCTTCCAATATTTTGCAGTTTTTATTTTTCAGTTTGTGAGCCTCATCAATGATCACTGCTCTCCATAGGATGTTCTTTAAGTCACTGTTATCAGCTGAAACAGATTACAAGAATACACATTACATGTACATGTACATGTACAGTATATGCTAATATTGGATACAGCTAGTACATGCACAGTCAACTTAAAAATTTTGAAATAAATTTTTTAGAGGAGAAAATTAAAGTTTCTAATTTTCTTAAATTTTATTTTTAAATTAAATTTTTATTTTTTAATTTATTTTTAATTCTTAATTTTAAAACATGTACATGCATAATATTATTATACAAGTAAAATTAGTATAAGTAAAGGTGTGGTTGTTAATTAAATGTGGGTGTGGCTTACATAGCAAAACTTCATAAGTAGTGACAATGACGTTAAACTTGTATGCATCAATAATGATCTTTCCTGATTGATCACGAAAATACAGTTTATACTCTTGAATCATCCTACGACTGTAAGCACTGGAAGAGGAAAGAATCATAAAAAGAAATGAAGAAAAAGAAAAAAAATTAAAGAGAATATAATGAAAATGGAGAAAGAAAATGACGTATTTGTATTTGTATTTTTTCCAACGTATTTGTTGGAAAAAAGTAAGGAAAC